TTAATGAAAGTTTATAGAAAAATGGGATTTCCATTCATTCATTGTACATTTGCCTCTCTAACCACCTTCCTGCCCGCTTCGTTTTTCTCTTTAAAGAGAATCTTTCATTGTTGCACATGGATTTTTCTTTTAAGAAAAAAACAATTTAGAACTGTTCTGTTGTTGTTGTTATACGCCATCGAGTCAATTGTGATTCATACCGGCCCTATGTATAACAGCTCTGAACCCTACTCTATCCAGTGCCAATCTTATTGTCTCTGATACACCTATCCCCATTACCCTAGTCACTGAATCAATCCATCTTATCAAGGATTTTCCTCTCTCTTGCATTGTCTCTCCACCCTCCCAAGCATGAAGTTCCTCACCAAGGACTGGACCCTCCTTGCAACATGCCCAAAGTATGTCAGACGAAGCTTCGGAAACCTTGCCTCCAAGAAGCAGCCTGATTTCACTCTCTCTCAGATGAACCTGTTTGTTCTCCTGGCAGTCCATGGTATATCCAATACGCTTCTCCAACACCACAGCTCAAAGGCATCAATATACCTTCTATCCTCCCTAGTCATTGTCCAGCTTTCTGATTCATAGCAATTAATCGTGAAGACTGTGGCCTGGATCAGGTGCACCTTAGTCTCCAGACTGACGGGGCTGCTCTTCATTGCTCTGGCAAGGTACCTGATAGCAGACTTTCCCAGTGCAATTTGTCTTTTCATTTTCTGGATATTAGTACCAAGAGTGTTAGGTTTACGTAAAAAGCGCATAGGCAATACAGTCATCACTTTGGCGTCAGAGCTGACTCAGAGCTTCCTTCAGGTTTCCAGATGCGGTAAACTGCACAGGAAGTGATTGTCTGTCTGTCTCCTCTACAGCAGCTGCTGGATTGATCCATCTATTTTTATGTTGATAGCACAACTCCTTCTTCCCCACTAGGCTACCAGAGCTCCCTGTAGAAAGTGCAGAGGGTCTCTATATGGCCCGCCGCCTGCACACAGTTTTTCTGGTCTCTTCCCACCCAATCTCTCTTGTTCTTCACACTTGGAATTGTGTTGGCCACTGTTAGAATAAGATGAGCCGGGGCTGATGGATCTTTTCTACCCACTGCCCACAGACATCTCCCACGAGGGCTAACACTCGGTGTCTGTAGAAGCCTGTGGATTTCGACAAATGTATGATGCTACGTGCCCACCAGAGCATCACACAAAATCAGTGCCCTTAATGCCCAGGACTCCCCTATTCACCTCTCCTGCTCCCCAAACTTCTGGTCAACATTGTCTGTGCCTGTGCCTTGACCTCAAAGCCAGCTGGTTGGATGCTACAAGCGTTTTCAGACTTCTTGAGCTTTTTCTTACTCTTTTTTTCTGAGAGCGGGTATTGGGGTGGGTGTCCCATCTCAGTGTGGGGGTCTGGGGCTGTCTGAACCTCACTTTTGCAAGTAGGGCCTTGTCTGTTTTCAAGTTTGGATGGGTTCTGATTCTCTGCGTTTCTACTACTCCACCTTTGGGCAGATATGAACTGGACCTGAGCGTTGCTGAGGATATCAGGCCTGGTCCCCACCTCCACAGGGCTCCCAGCCCAGTGTGGGGGAACAGATACAGAAGCAGGCAGATACAGCTGCTGGGGACCAGAAACCAGGACGTGATGGGGACCCCCTCGGGCTCATGAAAACAGAGTAATCTCTCATTTGAGAGGAGGAGGTGTTGAGGGGTCCTCCATAAGTGGCCCTGGTGGGCCAGTGGTTAAACACTTTGTTACTAACGGATAACTGAAAGCCTGGTTCGAATCCATCAGCAGCCCCTTGGGTGTGAAGAGATGTCCGTTTGCTTCCTTAACATATTACAACCTTGGAAGCCTACTGCGCCCACAGGGCCGGCTGTGAGTCATAATTGACTCAAATGGCAGGAAGTTAGATCTAGAAGTTCCTGGATGGCGCAGACACTTGACACGAGTAGAAAGGCTGGTATTTTTAACGCACTCTGCGGTAGCAAGGCCTGGCGACCTGTTCCAGTAAAGAAGACAGCTTAGAACCCACACCCTCACCTCAACGTGGGAACTCAGCTCTGTCACATGGGCTCACAAGGACTTGACAGCACTTAACAACATCATTATACCCATTCAGAGGGAAGGAAACTGAGGCCCTAACACGTTAAAGGACTTGTTCCAAATGGACTCGCTGAGAGTGGCTGGAACTGGACGCCATAAATCTGGCTCTAGAGGGTAAATTTGAAAAGTCAGCCAAGAAAGGGGCGTGGAGAAAGACCGCACCTGTCCCTCAGAGGAACTTGAAACCGCTGGGGTCTGGTGACCTGGGCTCCTGACACGGGATGTCACGCACGTGACTCACAGGGTGCCCTGGACAGACGGACTCGCTTCCTCTCTCTGGGTTTGTACCTGAGTTTAAATGGGCGAGCGATGGGGCACCGCCTCTTGGGGGCGCGGCCAGGCTGGGATGAGGTCATCCACGTGGGGCGCCTGGCACCGCCAGCGCTCGTTAAATGCCTGCTAGCGTGATTATAATCATTACTGCTTTATTATAGTTCATTTTAATTAATTGATACTAATTCTGCTTCTTGGCACCCACCCCACTAGATCTCCCACTCAGATTCCTTACTCTTTCTGGCTCGCACGGGCTCCAGAAAATTGCAGGCGACCTGGAGCAGTGGGTCCGAGTAGAGGCTTCTCTGTCGTGTCCACTGGGTCTGGGGTCTGTCACTGTCCCCCAGCACTTGCCGGCGCTAGGACCACGCGATCCTGTCAACGCAACGGTGGAGACCAGACCAACCTCCAGACACGCCTCCCCTGTTGATTGGCTCGAGGGCCCCGGAGCTGGTTCCTATTGGCTCCGGCTGCCGCCGCTCCGGGGAATTCCCGCCGCCGCCGCGCCCCGCCTGCGCCGCAGTCTCGGCTGCCAGCGCCGGGGCCGCAGGGCGGTCGGGAGGCCGAGGAGCGTGGTCGCTGCCAGCTGGTGGCCGGCCCGACGCGGGCACCTCGCGGAGTGTCCAGCCTGGGTCTGCGCTCCTCGGCGCCCCCCAGCCTGT